AGAGGGGACACGGGGACAGCGAGGACACTGGAACTGGGGAGACAACGGGTACCGGGGGGACTGCGGGGACAGCGGGGACACGGGGACAGCGGGACGGGATGGGCTGGGGGGGACAGGGAGGGGACAGGGCAGGGCAGAAAGGAGGGACAAGGGAGGGGACAGGACAGGGGGACAGCGAGGGGACAGCGAGGGGACCGGGCGGGCGCTCGGAGGGCCGGCAGGGTGGCGCGGAGGGGACAGCGGGGACACGGGGACAGCGGGGACAGGATACAGGTCTCCTCGTACACCTGGAGCGTGGCCATGTCCCCCTCGAGCCGGATGATCTCCCCCACCAGCTCCGCGTGGCCCACGCGCACCAGCTCGTACATGGCCGCCCCCGCCATCCGCGTGGCTGTCACCACTGCGGGGACACGCCGCCGTCACCCCCGGCCACCACCGCGCAGGGGACCACCGTGTCCCCCCGGCTCGCCGTCCCCGTCCCCTCCCCGCGGCGCCCCTGCCGTGCGCGGGGCTGTCACCACTGCGGGGACACGGCCCGGGGCCGCCACCCCACCGGGGACCCCTCTGTCCCCATCCCTGTCCCCATCCCTGTCCCCTCCCCATTGTCCCCTCTCCTGTCCCCGTTTTAGTGCCAAAAATGCCACCGGGATCGCCATCCCCGGCTGTCCCTCTGTCCCCAGGATGTCCCACGATGTCCCCTCCTGTTGCCAACCTGTCCTCTCCCCAAGTGCTCCCCGCCATTGTCCCCCCATTGTCCCCCCTGCTGTCCCTGTGTCCCCACTGTCCCACCCCAGTCCTTCTGTCCCCATTGTCCCCATTCCTGTCCCTGTGTCCCCATTGTCCCACCCCAGTCCTTCTGTCCCCATTGTCCCCTCTCCTGTCCCTCTGTCCCACTCCTGTCCCTCTGTCCCCATTGTCCCCCCTCCTGTACCTCTGTCCCCATTGTCCCCTCTCCTGTCCCCTCCCCAGGTGTCCCCCCCACCATTGTCCCCTCTCCCGTCCCTCTGTCCCACTCCTGTCCCTCTGTCCCCACTGTCCCACCCCAGTCCTTCTGTCCCCATTGTCCCCTCTCCTGTCCCTCTGTCCCACTCCTGTCCCTCTGTCCCACTCCTGTCCTTCTGTCCCCACTGTCCCCCCATTGTCCCCCTCCTGTCCCTTTGTCCCCATTATCCCATCCCCGTCCCTCTGTCCCCACTGTCCCCTCTCCTGTCCCTCTGTCCCCACTGTCCCACCCTAGTCCTTCTGTCCCCACTGTCCCCTCTCCTGTCCCTCTGTCCCCACTGTCCCACCCTAGTCCTTCTGTCCCCACTGTCCCCTCTCGTGTCCCTCTGTCCCACTGTCCCCTCTCCTGTCCCTCTGTCCCCACTGTCCCCCCTCCTGTCCCCATTTCAGCGGCTCAAACGCCACCGGCTCCCCATCCCCGGCCGTCCCCGGTGTCCCGGTGTCCCCGGTGTCACCGTACCGGGCCCGGACACGCCGTGCACGGTCCCCACCAGGCTCTCGCGCTCCTCCTGCCGTGTCCCCTCCATGCTGTCCCCTCCCCGCCGCGCTGCCGCCGCCGTTAAATGGCCCCGGCCGCCGGTGACAACCGGACGGGGCCACCGCGGGCGTGGCGCCACCGTGCCGCGGGGACACGGCGCGGTGGCACCGGCTGGCTCCGGTGGCAGGGCCACCCGCGGGCGCGGCACTGTGTGCAGTCAACAGCCGCGTCCCCCTGCGCCGGGTGACACCGGGTGACACCGGCCCGGCCCGGCTGGGGGTGACGGGGACGCGGCGTGGGTGTCCTTGTCACCTCCCTGCCGTGTCCTTGTCACCCCCTTCCCTTTGTCACCCCCCACGTCCTTGTCACCCCCTTCCCTTTGTCACCCCCAAGTCCTTGTCACCTCCATGGCCTTGTCACCTTCCTGCTGTGTCCTTGTCACCCCCTTCTCTTTGTCACCCCCCATGTCCTTGTCACCTCCTTTCCTCTGTCACCCCTTATGGTATTGTCACCTCCCCATGTCCTTGTCACCCCCTCACAGCCTTGTCACCCCCAAGTCCTTGTCACCCTCCATGGCCTTGTCACCTTCTCTTTGTCACCCCTGTCACCCCCATGGCCTTGTCACCTCCCTGCCATGTCCTTGTCACCCCCTTCCCTTTGTCAGCCCTTCTCTTTGTCACCCCCAAGTCCTTGTCACCTCCATGGCCTTGTCACCTTCTTTTTGTCACCCCTGTCACCCCCATGGCCTTGTCACCTCCCTGCTGTGTCCTTGTCACCCCCTTCTCTTTGTCACCCCCATTTTTGGGGTCTCCTCTCCCCTTTTTTTGGGGGTCCCATCCCCATCTTCAGGATCCTCTTTTTCCCCCATTTTGGGGTTTGATCCCCATTTTTGGGGTCTCCTCTCCCCCTTTTCTGGGGTCTCATGCCCCATTTTTGGGGTCCCTTTTTTCCCCCATTTTGAGTCCCACCCTCTACCCTTGGGATCCCCTTTTTCCCCCATTTTTGGGGTCTCCTCTCCCTTTTTTTTGGGGGTCCCTCCCTCCATCTTCAGGATCCCTTTTTCCCCCATTTTGAGTCCCACCCTCTATGTTTGGGATCCCCCTTTTTTTCCCCATTTTTTGGCTATTTCTCCCCATTTTGGGGTCCCAACCCCATTTTTGGGGTTCCTTTTTTCCCCCATTTTGAGTACCACCCTCTATGTTTGGGGTCCCCTTTTTTGGGCTATTTCTCCCCATTTTGGGGTCCCATACCCCATTTTTGGGGTCCTGTTTTTCCCCATTTTTAGGTTCCCACCCCCATTTTTGGGGTCCTGTTTTCCCCCCATTTTAGGTTCCCATACCCCATTTTTGGGGTCCTGTTTTTCCCCATTTTTAGGTTCCCACCCCCATTTTTGGGGTCCTGTTTTCCCCCCATTTTAGGTTCCCATACCCCATTTTTGGGGTCCTGTTTTTCCCCATTTTTAGGTTCCCACCCCCATTTTTGGGGTCCTGTTTTCCCCCCATTTTAGGTTCCCATACCCCATTTTTGGGGTCCTGTTTTTCCCCATTTTTAGGTTCCCACCCCCATTTTTGGGGTCCTACTTGAAACCCCCCACATTTGATATTCTCCCCCTCACCCCAAACCCATTTTCCCCCCCTTTTCCCATAAAAACCAACCGGGGGATTTTCCCAAATTCCCGTTTATTACCCAAACCCCCCGGAAACGACCCCAAATCCCGCTGGGAATTTTTTTTGGGGGGGTCAGGACACCAAGACCCCCCCGGGGCCCCCCTTGCCCCCCTCGGGGCCGTCCCGGGGCGCAGATTTGGGGTCGTCCTCGCCCACCAGGCGGATGTTGTGGCGTTCCCGAAATTCCGACAGCTCCCGGCCCTTGGCCTGCAGCTGCTGCGCCAGAGCCTCGATCAGCTTGGAGATCTGGGGAAAAAAACGGGGAAAATGGGCAAAACGGGAAATGGGGGAAATGGGGGAAAAGAGAGAGGCTCGGTTAGATTGGAGATTTTGGGGGAAAAACGGGGAAATTGGGAAATATGGGAAATGGGGGAAATGGGGGAAAAGAGAGAGGCTCGGTTAGATTGGAGAACTAGGGGGGAAAACGGGGAAAATGAGAGAAAAATAGAAAAAAAGCAGGGGAAAAATCTAGAGAGTTTTTTTGAGGTGGTCCTAGGAGATTTTTTGGGCTTCCCCCATTGGATTTTTATGGGATCCCAGTGAGATTTTGGGGTTCCCATTGGATTTTCACGGGATCCCAGCGGGGTTTTGGGGTCCCAGCAGGTTTTTGGGGTTCCCATCGGATTTTTATGGGATTCCAGCGGGGTTTTGGGGTTCCCATTGGATTTTCACGGGATCCCAGAAGAATTTTGGGGTCTCAGCAGGTTTTTGGGGTTCCCATTGGATTTTTATGGGATTCCAGCGGGGTTTTGGGGTCCCCCTTGGATTTTTACGAGATCCCAGCAGGATTTTGGGGTTCCCATTGGATTTTTACAGGATCCCAGCGGGGTTTTGGGGTCTCAGCAGGATTTTGGGGTCCCCGTTGGATTTTTACAGGATCCCAGCGAGATTTTGGGGTTCCCATTGGATTTTCACAGGATACTAGCAGAGTTTTGAGATCCCCATTGGATTTTTACGAGATCCCAGCAGAATTTTGAGGTCCCAGCATGTTTTTGGGGTTCCCATTGGATTTTCACGGGATCCCAGCAGAGTTTTGAGGTCCCCATTGGATCTTTACGGGATCCCAGCGGGGTTTTGGGGTCCCAGCAGGTTTTTGGGGTTCCCACTGGATTTTTATGGGATCCCAGCGGGGTTTTGGGGTCCCAGCAGGGTTTTGGGGTGCAGACCTGCTCCCTGTTGCTCTCCAGCGCGGGCAGCACCTCCTTGACCGTCCTCTCCACCAGCACCCCCCCGACCATGCGGAAACACTTCCGGGTGGGATCCACCTCCCGCAGCGTCTCGATCACCAGCCTGGGCAGCACCCCAAATCTGAGCCCCCCAAATCCACCCTGATCCACCCCAAATCCATCCTAAATCTACCCTGATCCACCCCAAATCCTGAGGCCCCCCTAAATGCATTCTGATCCACCCCAAATCCATCCTAAATCCACCCTGATCCACCCCAAATCCATCCTGATCCACCCCAAATCCACCTCAAATCCCCCCAAATCCTGAGCCACCCTAAACCCATCCTGATCCACCCTAAATCCCCTAAATCCCAACTCCACTCCCCCAAATCCTGACCCCAAATCCCAAACCCCAGCCCCACACCCCAAACCCCAAATCCCAGCCCCACACCCCAAATCCCAGCCCCACACCCCAAACCCCGCACCCCAAATCCCAAATCCCAGTCCCAAATCCCAAACCCCAGCCCCACACCCCAAACCCCAAATCCCAGTCCCAAATCCCAAATCCCCAGCCCCATGCCCCAAACCCCAGCCCCACACCCCAAATCCCAAATCCCAGCCCCACACCCCAAACCCCGCACCCCAAATCCCAAATCCCAGTCCCAAATCCCAAATCCCAGCCCCACACCCCACACCCCAAACCTCAGCCCCAAACTCTGCACCCCACACCCCACACCCCAGCCCCACACCCCAAACCCTGCACCCCACACCCCAAACCCCAGCCCCACACCCCAAATCCCAGCCCCACACCCCAAACCCTGCACCCCGCACCCCAAACCCTGCACCCCACACCCCAAACCCCGCACCCCAAATCCCAAACCCTGCACCCCACACCCCAAACCCTGCACCCCACACCCCAAACCCCAGCCCCACACCCCAAACCCTGCACCCCACACCCACGTGTGCTCGTTGAGCTCCAGCTCCAGCTCGGCCGCCTTGGAGGCCAAACCCCGCTGGTCCTGCCGCAGGCGGTTAAAGCGCGACACCACCTGCGCCACAAACTGGGATGGACTGGGAGCAACTGGGATGGGCTGGGAGGGACTGGGATGGACTGGGAATGGATTGGGAGGGACTGGGAATGGACTGGAACACACTGGGAGGGACTGGGAATGGACTGGGAGCGACTGGGACGGGCTGGGAGGGGCTGGGAATGGACTGGGAGGGACTGGGAGAGACTGGGAATGGACTGGAAATAGACTGGGAGGGACTGGGAATGGACTGGGAAGGACTGGGAATGGACTGGGAATGGACTGGGAATGGACTGGGAGGGGCTGAGACGGATTGGGATGGACTGGGAATGGACTGGGAGGGGCTGAGACGGATTGGGATGGACTAGGAATGGACTGGGAGAGACCGGGACCAACTGGGACGGGCTGGGATGGACTGGGAATGGACTGGGAGGGACTGGGAATGGACTGGGAGCGACTGGGACGGGCTGAGACGGATTGGGATGGACTGGGATGGACTGGGAATGGACTGGGAATGGACTGGGAGTGGACTGGGAAACACTGAGAGTGACTGGGAATGGATTGGGAGGGACTGGGACTGACTCGAAGGGGCTTGGAAGGGAATGGACTGGGAGGGGCTGGGAGGGACTGGGAATAGACTGGGAGGGACTGGGAATAGACTGGGAATGGACTGGGATGGGCTGGGATGGAACTAGGAATGGACTGGGAGGGACTGGGACCAGCTGGGAGGGGCTGGGAATGGACTGGGATGGACTGGGGTAAACTGGGAACAGGACTGGACTAGGAAAGGCCTTCCTCACTATCAGGGGCCCCTCCCCGTTATCAAAGACCCCTCCCCCAGTTTCAGAGACCCCTCCCCGTTATCAGGGACCCCTCCCCGTTATCAGGGACCCCCCCTCACTCCCCAGCCCTCCGCTCCCACAGTCCCCCCCCTCCTCCCCGTGCCCCCCTCACTCCCGGTGCCCCGTCCCCACCTCCCGGTGCCCGCTGACCTGCTCGGCGCTCAGCCCCTTCCCTGCCGGGGCCGCCGCCGCCCGCCCCTTCCCCGGCTCCGCCATCTTGCCCCGCGCGCCCCCTCCTCTTCCGGCCCGCGCCGCGCGCGCCGCGCCGCCACTTCCGGCCGCCATCTTGGGCCCGGGTGAGGGCGGCGCCGGCGCCATCTTGAGTGAGGGCAGAGTGCCTGAGGGGGGGAAATTTCGGCCGGGAATGTGCGGGAATGGGGCGAGAAAAGGGGAAAAAGTGGGGGGGGAAGGGGGTCTGGGGTGGGGGAAAGGGGGTTCGGGGTTCGGGGAGAGCGGAGGTGTGGGGGGTTCGGGGGTTTGGGGGACTGGGGATAGCTGGGGGCGGCGGGGGTGGGCGGTTTTTGGGGTGTGTGAGGCGGTCCGGGGTAGTTTTGGGAGTGTTTGGGGGGGTCTGGGGTCGTTTTGGGGGGGTCAGGGGTAGTTTTGGGAGTGTTTGGGGAGGGTCTGGGGGAGTTTTGGAGAGTATTTGGGGGGGTCTGAGGTGGTTTTAGGGGTGTTTGGGGGGTCTGGGGTAGTTTTGGGGGTGTTTGAGGCAGTTTTGGGGGGTTTGGGGCAGATTTGGGGTGTTTGGGGTAGTTTTGGGGCGTCTGGGGCAGTTTTGGGGTGTTTGGGGCAGTTTGGGGGGTCTGGGGCAGTTTTGTGGGTGTTTGGGGCAGTTTTTTGTGGGGCTGGGGTACTTTGGGATCAAAATTGGGGCAGCTCAGGGGGAGCTGAGGACTTTTGGGGGGTCGGGGGCAGTTTGGGGTCACACCTGGGGTTAGTTTGATGCAGTTTTGGGGGTTCCAGGTTCCCCCCCCCCAGCCCTGTGACCCCTCCCCAATTTGGGGTGTCCTTCCCCCCCAGGCTGAGGGTGGCCCCCCGGGCCCTGCTGTGCTGCCCCCCGAGAGCTTCGAGAGCCCCCCAGAGCTCCAGCAGCACGGGCAGGTACCCAGGGAGACCCCAAAAACCCAGGGGGACCCCAAAAACCCTGTGGAGAACCCCCAAACCCCATGGGAACCCCCAAAACCCCAGGGGGACCCCAAATACCCAGGGGGACCCCAGATACCCCATGGGGACCCCAAAAACCCTGTGGGAACCCCCAAAATCCCATGGGGACCCCAAATATTCTGTGGGGAACCCCAAAAATCCCATGGGGACCCCAAATACCCTGTGGGGAACCCCCAAAATCCCATGGGGACCCCAAATACCCTGTGGGGAACCCCAAAAAGCCCAGGGGGGCTGAGGGTGACCCCGGGGGTGACCCCAGGTGTGTGTGTGTGGGGGGCGGTTCAAGGGTGACCCTGCTCCCCTTGGGGTCACCTGGGGGTGTCCCTGTCCCCAAGGGGGTGACCGCAATCCCTTAGAGGTGTCCCATGGGGTGATCCCAGTCCCCGTGAGGTGCCCGTGGTGTCCCCAAGGACAGCAATGTCCCCTTGGTGTCCCCAAGGACTGCAATGTCACCTTGGTGTCCCCAGGGACAGCAGCGTCCCCCTGTCCCTCACCTGTCCGTGTCCCCAGACCCTTTGGTGTCCCCCTGAGTCCCTCCTGGTGTCCCCTCCCCACAGCCCCGCGGCCATGGCAGAGCCCCCAGACCCGCCGGTGTCCCCAGACCCGCCGGTGTCCCCAGAGCCGCCGGTGTCCCCAGAGCCGCCGGTGTCCCCGGCCCCGCCGGGCGGGCTGGTGGCGGTGGCGCAGGTGACATCCACGGCGGACAAGGAGCACAACTGGCGGCAGTGCTCGGCGCTGGTGCGGCGCGCGGCGGCCGCCGGGGCCCGCGCCGTGTTCCTGCCCGAGGCCTTCGACTTCATCGGGGACAGCGCCCAGCACAGCCTGGCGCTGGCAGAGCCCCTGCACGGGGACACCGTGGGGCGCTACCGCCGGCTGGCCAGGTGGGCACAGCGCCGTGGCACCGGGGTGGCACCGGGGACAGCGGGGGTGGCACCCAGGGACAGCGCCGTGGCACTGGGGTGGCACTGGGGACAGCGGGGATGGCACCCAGGGACAGCGCCGTGGCACTGAGGGACAGTGCCGTGGCACCGGGGACAGCGGGGGTGGCACCCAGGGACAGCGCCGTGGCACTGAGGGACAGTGCCGTGGCACCGGGGACAGCGGGGGTGGCACCCAGGGACAGCGCCGTGGCACTGGGGTGGCACTGGGGACAGCGGGGTGGCACTGGGAGGGGCACCCAGGGACAGCGGGGTGGCACTGGGGTGGCACTGGGGACAGCGGGGTGGCACTGGGAGGGGCACCCAGGGACAGCGGGGTGGCACNGGAGGGGCACCCAGGGACAGCGGGGTGGCACTGGGGTGGCACTGGGGACAGCGGGGTGGCACTGGGAGGGGCACCCAGGGACAGCGGGGTGGCACCCAGGGACAGCGGGAGAGGCACCCAAGGACAGTGGGGGTGACACCAGGGACAGTGGGGGTGGCACCAGGGACAGCGAGATGGCACTGAGGGACAGCGGGGTGGCACTGGGGTGGCACCCAGGGACAGTGGGAGAGGCACCTGAGGACAGTGGGGGTGGCACCAGGGACAGCGGGGTGGCACCGGGGTGGCACCAGGGACAGCAGGGTGGCACCCAGGGGCACTGGGAGAGGCAGTGAGGGACAGCGGGGTGGCACCAGGGTGGCACCCAGGGAATGTCACCGTGTGTCCCCAGGGAATGTGGCGTGTGGCTCTCCCTCGGTGGCTTCCACGAGCGCGGCGAGGACTGGGACAGCACCGGCCGCATCTACAACTGTCACCTGCTGCTGGACAGCTCGGGTGGGACACGGCTCCCTGTCTGTCTGTCTGTCTGTCCCCAGCCCGCCCTGTCTGTCTGTCTGTCCCCAGCCCGCCCTGTCTGTCTGTCTGTCCCCAACCCTCCCTGTCTGTCTGTCTGTCCCCAACCCTCCCTGTCTGTCTGTCTGTCCCCAACCCTCCCTGTCTGTCTGTCTGTCCCCAGCCCGCCCTGTCTGTCTGTCTGTCCCCAACCCTCCCTGTCTGTCTGTCTGTCCCCAGGCGCGCTGGTGGCCGCCTATCGCAAGCTGCACCTCTTCGACGCGGCGCTGCCGGGGGCGCCGGCGCTGCGTGAGAGCTCCTTCACCAACCCCGGCCGGGAGCTGCTGCCCCCCGTCGACACCCCCGTGGGCAAGGTACGCTCCCCCGCTGGCCCCGAGTGTCCCCGAGTGTCCCCAAGTGTCCCCGAGTGTCCCCTGCCTTCGCTGATCCACAGGGTTCCCAAAAAATCTTGAGGCTGGCCGTGTGCCGCAGCCGGCGCTTCCCAGAGCTGGCCCTGCCCTGACCCTTTACAGCCCTAAAGACTGACCCCACAGTGCCCAGGCGTGTCCTTGGGTGTCCCCGAGTGTCCCCAGGTGTCCCCAAGTGTCCCCAGGGTGTCCCCAAGTGTCCCCTGCCCTCAATGACCCACGGTATTCCCAGAAAAAGCTGGAATTGGCCATGTGCTACAGGCTGTGGGCCCTGACCCCTGATCCTCCCCATGTCCCCAGGGTGTCCCCAATGTCCCCAGCGTGTCCCCAATGTCCCCGATGTCCCAATATCCCCGATGTCCCAATGTCCCGATGTCCCCCAATGTCCCCCAGTGTCCCAATGTCCCCAATGTCCCCAGCTGGGGCTGGCCGTGTGCTATGACCTGCGCTTCCCGGAGCTGGCCCTGTGCCCAGGGTGTCCCCAATGTCCCCAGGGTGTCCCCAATGTCCCCAGGGTGTCCCCAGGGTGTCCCCAATGTCCCCAGGGTGTCCCCAATGTCCCCCAACGTCCCCGGTGTCCCCAGCTGGGGCTGGCCGTGTGCTATGACCTGCGCTTCCCGGAGCTGGCCCTGTGCCTAGGGTGTCCCCAGGGTGTCCCCAATGTCCCCAGGGTGTCCCCAATGTCCCCAGGGTGTCCCCAGGGTGTCCCCAATGTCCCCAGGGTGTCCCCAATGTCCCCAGGGTGTCCCCAATGTCCCCCAACGTCCCCAATGTCCCCAGCTGGGGCTGGCTGTGTGCTATGACCTGCGCTTCCCGGAGCTGGCCCAGGCCCTGCGCGGGGCCGGCGCCCAGATCCTGACCTTCCCCTCGGCCTTCACCGTCCCCACCGGAGCCGCGCACTGGGAGGTGAGGGGACACCCCGGGGGGCTTGGGGACACACCATGGAGGGGCTTGGGGACACCCCGGGGGGCTTGGGGACACCCCGGGGGGCTTGGGGACACACCATTGGGGGGGTTGGGAACACACCTGGGGGGGTTGGGAACACACCTGGGGGGTTGGGGACACCCCGGGAGGGGAGTGGGGACACTCCAAGGGGCTTGGGGACACCCCTGTCCCCTCAGGTGCTGCTGTGTGCCCCCTGTGCCCCCATGGGTGCCCCCACTGCCCCCTGGGTGCCACCACTGTCCCCTGGGTGCCCGCGCTGTCCCTGCAGGTGCTGCTGTGTGCCCGTGCCCCCTGTGCCCCCCTGGGTGACACTACTGTCCCCTGGGTGCCCCTGCTGCCCCCTGGGTGCCCCCTGGGTGCCACCACTGACCCCCGGGCGCCCGCGCTGTCCCCTCAGTGCCACCACTGCCGCCTGGGTGCCCCCGCTGACCCCTGGGTGCCACCACTGACCCCTGGGTGACACGACGTCTCCCCTGGGTGACCCCGCTGCCCTCTTGGTGACACCACTGACGCCCGGGTGCCCCCGCTGCCCCCTGGGTGAAACCACTGCCCCCTGGGTGCCACCACTGACCCCTGGGTGCCCCGCTGAGCCCCGGGTGCCCCCGCAGGTGCTGCTGCGTGCCCGCGCCATCGAGTGCCAGTGCTACGTGGTGGCGGCGGCGCAGAGCGGGCGGCACAACGCCCACCGGGCGTCCTACGGCCACTCGCTGGTGGCCGACCCCTGGGGCACCGTGGTGGCGCAGTGCCACGAGGGCCCGGGGCTGTGCCTGGCACACATCGACCTCGACTACCTGCAGCAGGTGCGCCGCAACCTGCCCGTGCACGGGCACCGCCGCGGGGACGTCTACGGGGCGCTGCCGGGGACAGCGGGGACAGTGGGGACAATGGGGACAACGGGGACAGTGGGGACAGCGGGGACAACGGGGACAATGGGGACAACGGGGACAGCGGGGACAGCAGGGACAATGGGGACAGCGGGGACAGCGGGGACAACAGGGACAATGGGGACAATGGGGACAACGGGGACAGCAGGGACAATGGGGACAGCGGGGACAGCGGGGATGCCAGGGACAACGGGGACGTGAAGGGGACAACAGGGACAATGGGGACACCAGGAGCGTGACGGGGACAGCGGGGACAATGGGGACACTGGGGACAATGGGGACAGCAGGGACAATGGGGATAACAGGGATGCCAGGGACACCGGGGACAACGGGGACGTGAAGGGGACATCGGGGACAACAGGGACAATGGGGACACCAGGGGCGTGACGGGGACAGCGGGGACAATGGGGACAGCAGGGACAGCGGGGACAATGGGGATAACGGGAATGCCAGGGACACCGGGGACGTGAAGGGGACAACAGGGACAACGGGGACACCAGGGATGTGACGGGGACAATGGGGATAACGGGGACAACGGGGACACCAGGGACAATGGGGATAACGGGGACAACAGGGACGTGACAGGGACAATGGGGACAGCAGGGACAACGGGGACAACGGGGACAGCAGGGACACCGGGGACGCGACGGCCGCATCCGCTGGGAAGTGGCACCGGGTTTGCTTTTCTGGCCCCAAAACGGAATGGCACAAAATGTCCTGCTGTTCTTTATTGGGGGTCCCAAATCTGCCCCAAATCTGTATCAAATCAGCCCCAAATCAGCCCCAAATCTGCCCTTTTTGTCCTCAAAATGAAATGGCACAAAATGTCCTCCCTGCTCTCCTTTTGGGATCCCCACTCTTTTTTGGAGTCTCGATTCAGCTTCAAATTTGCTCTAAATCTGCATCAATTTAGCCCAAAATTGACCCTGAATCTGCCCCAAATCTGCCCCAATTCATCCCGAAATTTCCTTCTATTGAAATTTGAAAAATACAAAAAATCCCCGGAAATGACCCCAAAGTGTGGAGGAATTTTGGGATGGGAGGGACTGGGGACAACCCTGAACCCTCCAAGTGCTGGGTGGAAATGGGGAGAAAACGGAGGAAAACGGGAAAAAAACTCCATCCCTGTCAGGTTTTGGGGGAAATGGGAATTTTTTGGGAGGAAAACCAAGGATTTGGGGAGGAAAATGGGAATTCTGGGGGAAATTTCCATTTGCTTTTCGCCGTTGTTTTTAATGGATATAAAAGAGAGGAAAAAAACCATGGAAAATACAAGGAGGGGGAATTTGACAAAGGAAAATGAGGAATTCTGGAATATTCCACAGCCCCAATCCCCCAAATCTCAGCGTGTCCCTCAGGTTCTTAAAATGAGATTTTTGCCCTTTTTTTGATCACTTTTAATGGATACAAAAGAGGAAAAAAAAAAAAATCACGGAAAACACGAGGACAAAGAAGAATTGATGAGGAAAGTGAGGAATTCTGGAATGTTCCGTCCTTCCAATGCTTCCCACACCTCAAATCCCCAATTCTGAGTGCACCAATGGGATTTTGGCCTTTTTGCTGCTGTTTTTAATGGATGAAAAAGAACAAAAAAACGGGGAAAAATCACGGAAAACACAAGGGGAAAGGAGGAATTGACAGGGGAAAATGGGAATTCTGGAATATTCCATTATTCCTGGGCTCCAAAATCCCAGCGTGTTGCACTGAAGGGATTTTGGTGTTTTTGTTGGTGTTTTTAATGGATAAAAATAAAATAGGGAAAAAACATGGAAAACACAAGGAGAAAAAGGAGGTAAACAGGAAAAAACAAGGAATTCTGGAATATTCCACATGCCCAAATCCCAGCCTGTCGCACCCATGGGATTTTTGCCTTTTCATCACCGTTTTTAATGGATACAAAAGAAAAAACGGGAGGGAAAATCCATGGAAAACACAAGGAGAACCCATCAGGAACTCCAAATCCTGGAATATCCCACACCTCCAATCCAGAATATTCCAAACCTGAAATCCCCAATTCCGACTGCACTGCACCAATGGGGTTTTTCCATGGATAAAAAAGAAAATAGGAAGAAAACGTGGAAAACACAAGAAGGAGGAGGAATTAATAGGAAAATCCAAGGAATTCTGGAATATTCCACATCCCCAAATCCCAGCCTGTCGCACCAATGGGATTTTTGCCTTTTGATCACCGTTTTTAATGGATACAAAAGAAAAAACGGGAGGGGAAATCCATGGAAAACACGAGGAGGAGGAATTCTGGAATATTCCACATCCCCAAATCCCAGCCTGTCGCACCAATGGGATTTTTGCCTTTTGATCACCGTTTTTAATGGATACAAAAGAAAAAAACGGGAGGGGAAATCCATGGAAAACACAAGGAGAACCCATCAGGACCCCCCCAAAAAAGCGCCAAATCCCGAAATCCCCCGAACCTCCAACCCTCCCCAAATCCGTGAGCGCGTCGGAGTGGGTGAGAAAGGGGGGCAAAAAAACCCCAGGAAATCCCAGGAAAAAAAAACCAACAGAACAACTGGGGATGGATCCCTCAGGGAGCCGTGTGGAGCATCAAGTTCCTGAGGAGTTTCTGGCGGCCCAGCTCGTAATCCTCCTCGTCCACGTTGACCAGCAGCTTGATGGCCTCGTGGCCCACGGCCTGTTTGAGCGAGTCCGTGATGAAGACGCCCTTGAGGGCTTCCAGGAGGGAGCCGTTGATGTAATCCCGCCAGAAGGCGTCGAGGTAGGTGAGCTCCGAGAATTTGATGTCGCAGATGATGGAGCCCAAATCCCGGGATTTGAGGATGGTGTTGGCCTGGTTGAAGCGCTCGAATTGGCGCTCCAGAGGGTCCTGCTTGTTGGAGAAGACGTTGCCGTGCAGGGCCGAGTCGTGCTGGCAGTACTCGGCGCGCACGCGCAGGCGGATGTCTGCGGAGCGGGGAGGTTAGGGGGGGTCCGGAATTCCCAATCCCAGATCCGATCCCGGTCCCAAACCCTGCGTGCTGCAGGGATCCCAATCCCAAATCCGATCCCGGTCCCAAACCCTGCGTGCTGCAGGGATCCCAATCCCAAATCCGATCCCGGTCCCAAACCCTGCTCACCACAGGGATCCCAATCCCAAATCCGATCCCGGTCCCAAACCCTGCTCACCACAGGGATCCCAATCCCAGATCCGATCCCGGTCCCAAACCCTGCGTGCTGCAGGGATCCCAATCCCAAATCCTGATCCAATCCCAAACCCTGCGTGCTGCAGGGATCCCAATCCCAAATCCTGATCCCAGTCCCAAACCCTGCTCGCTGCAGGGATCCCAATCCCAAATCCTGATCCCAATCCCAAACCCTGCTCGCCACAGGGATCCCAATCCCACATTCCCAATCCCAAATCCTGATGCCGGTCCCAAACCCTGTGTGCTGAAGGGATCCTAATCCCAAATCCTGATCCCGGTCCCAAACCCTGCGTGCTGCAGGATCCCAATCCCAAATCCTGATCCAATCCCAAACCCTGCGTGCTGCAGGGATCCCAATCCCAAATCCTGATCCCGGTCCCAAACCCTGCTCACCACAGGGATCCCAATCCCAAATCCTGACCCCAGTCCCAAACCCTGCTCACCACAGGGATCCCAATCCCAAATCCTGATCCCGGTCCCAAACCCTGCTCACCACAGGGATCCCAATCCCAAATCCTGATCCCAGTCCCAAACCCTGTGTGCTGCAGGATCCCAATCCCAAATCCTGATCCCGGTCCCAAACCCTGCGTGCTGCAGGGATCCCAAATCCTGACCCCAAATCCCAATCCCACATTCCCAATCCCAATCCCAATCCCAACCCCGCTCACCGCAGGTCTGCTTCTCCTTGGGAATCCCAATCCCACATTCCCAATCCCACATTCCCGATCCCACATTCCCAATCCCACATTCCCAATCCCGACCCCGCTCACCGCAGGTCTGTTTCTCCGTGGGGATCCCGATCCCAATCCCACATTCCCAATCCCACATTCCCGATCCCACATTCCCAACCCCACATTCCCAACCCCACATTCCCAACCCCGACCCCGCTCACCGCAGGTCTGCTTCTCCTTGGGGATCCCAATCCCAATCCCACATTCCCAGTCCCACATTCCCGATCCCACATTCCCGATCCCACATTCCCAATCCCACATTCCCAATCCCACATTCCCAATCTCAATCCTGACCCTGCTCACCGCAGGTCTGCTTCTCCTTGGGGATCCTGATCCCAATCCCACATTCCCAATCCCACATTCCCAATCCCACATTCCCGATCCCACATTCCCGATCCCACATTCCCAACCCCGACCCCGCTCACCGCAGGTCTGTTTCTCCTTGGGNATCCCACATTCCCAATCCCACATTCCCGATCCCACATTCCCGATCCCACATTCCCAACCCCGACCCCGCTCACCGCAGGTCTGTTTCTCCTTGGGGTCGGGGGTCGCTGACTTCCGCCGTTTCCGTTGGCTCCCGAGGAGGCTCCGGGCCCGGCCCGGGCGCTTCGGGCCCAGCTGGGCCCCCCCCGGGGGGCAGCACAGGGACGGGTGGGGGGCAGGCACTGGGGCAGGGGGCAGGGGGGTCAGCGACCCCAAATCCATCCCCAGAGACCCCAAATCCATCCCAGAGACCCCAAATCCATCCCAAATCCACCCCAGAGACCCCAAATCCATCCCAGAGACCCCAAATCCATCCCAGAGACCCCAAATCCATCCCAGAGACCCTAAATCCATCCCAAATCCACCCCAGAGACCCCAAATCCATCCCAAATCCCACCCCGGGGGCAGCACAGGGACGGGTGGGGGGCAGGCACTGGGGCAGGGGGCAGGGGGGTCAGCGACCCCAAATCCACCCCAGAGACCCCAAATCCATCCCAGAGACCCCAAATCCATCCCAGGGAACCCCAAATCCATCCCAGAGACCCCAAATCCATCCCAAATCCACCCCAGAGACCCCAAATCCACCCCAGAGACCCCAAATCCATCCCCAGAGACCCCAAATCCATCCCCAGAGACCCTAAATCCATCCCAGAGACCCCAAATCCATCCCAGAGACCCCAAATCCACCCCCAGAGACCACAAATCCATCCCAGAGACCCTAAATCCATCCCAGAGACCCCAAATCCATCCCCAGAGACCCCAAATCCATCCCAGAGACCCCAAATCCATCCCCAGAGACCCCAAATCCATCCCAGAGACCCCAAATCCATCCCAGAGACCCCAAATCCATCCCCAGAGACCCCAAATCCATCCCCAGAGACCCCAAATCCACCCCAGAGACCCTAAATCCATCCCAAATCCACCCAGGGAACTCCAAATCCACCCCAAATCCACCCCCAGAGACCCCAAATCCACCCCAAGGAACCCCAAATCCACCCCGGAGACCCCAAATCCATCCCAAATCCCTCCCCAGAGGTGACAATGACCCCAAAAGTGACAGTGACCCCGAAGCTGTTGATGGCCCCAGAGGTGACAATGGTCCATTTGTGACGGTGACCCCAAAAGTGACAATGACCCCATTTGTGACAGTGACCCCAGGGGTGACGATGGTGACAATGTCCCCATTTGTGACGATGGTGACAATGTCCCCATTTCTGACAATGGTTACGGTGACCCCATTTGTGACAATGGTGACGGTGACCCCAGGGGTGACAATGGTGACAATGTCCCCATTTGTGACAATGGTGACAGTGACCCCAGGGGTGACAATGGCGACCCCATTTGTGACGATGGTGACAATGTCCCCATTTGTGAC